AAAATGCTCATTGGAACATTTTAGATTTCAGATTTTCAGACAATGGGGATCTTCCAATAGGATCCCTAATATAATGCCCATATTCCAAAATCTAAAAATATTCAAAATTTGAAACACTTTTGGTTCCAAGCATTTCAGATAAAGGATCCTCAACCTGTATAAATAACACGGCAGTGAACATATATATGTAATTCAACCATTGATCAATAGTCATGGCCTTTTGTAATAATCCTTAATACCACATTTTCCCATGCTTCACTGAGCATTCGTGCTCCCATCCGCTCTGGGTGGGGATGCAGGTCCCTCAGCTTTCTCGCTTGGGTTGAGTAATGTTGGTCTTTAATTTGGTAGGCAAAAAATGGCATCTGGTTCTGAGGTTGTTTCTGAGAAAGAGTACGCTTTCCCCGTCAACAACTTTCATCTGGCTGCCCTCAGAATCTCCTCAGAGAGAGTGAGGTGCAGAGAAGAGGCAGCTGCTTCTTTCCCTGTTTTGAGATCATACATGGTGAGGTCATTGGAGAGACGAAAGGGTGGGCAGGACTTGGAGCACAAAAAGGGGCATTTCAGAGGAAGTCTTCAGGGGCAGCCACTCAGGAGGTGAAGTTTTCTAGAGAAACAGATCAAAGCACCGTGCGGCTATGGTGGCAGGCAGGCTTATGAGTGTGCCCTCTGTAGATTGTCAGCTCCACATGTGAGGCAGGGCCTGGGGCTGTCTGGGTCACTTCTGGGTCCTCAGCACAGCTCAGCATAGGGGTGGAGTGGAAAGCCAGTGCTCAGGAAATGTGTGTGGAGTGAATGCATACGTCTAAGTTTCTGGGTGAACGAGGAAAACTGAGTGTGAGGTAAACAGAGGAAAGCAATGTGGAGCTGGACTGAGCAGATGAGGCTGAGAGCCAGAACCGTGGTGGCTTCCATGAAATGTCCCTGTCTTCCCAGCCCAGCTACGTCCCACCTTTGGGCTTCATGCCCCCTGGCCGATCTGCACCTTGGCCCTCAGATGGTGACTTTGAAAGCGCAACTTCCATCTTGTTTCCCTCTTGAGGGCAGACATGGTGCATTGTGTATCTTTTTCTTTTTCCATTTTCTCGCTGAGTATTTGATGTCTGGCGTGTTTGTAAATACTCGATAAGAAACAGAACTGTCCTGGATATCTTAAACTATTCAATTCAGTCAGTAACAGAGCAGGCCTGCTTTGGATTTGGGAGGGCCTTGTGTCACTTTATTGTGAGCCCTCCTTCCGAGTTTCCCTTCGTTCTCCAAACACTGAGGCTTCTTGTGTAACGTATTTCTTCAGTGCCTGCTATGGGGCAAGCCCTGTGCCAGGTGTTAGGTGTGTAGTAGTGAACAAAACAGACATGGTCTCTGCCCCATGGAGCATAACATTCTAGTGGAGGAGACAAGCCAGTCCTTATGCAAATTAATTTCCACGGGTGAATATAAAATCACAAACTGGGAGTAAAAGCCATGACGGGAGAGAGCAGGGTGCTGAGTCTGAATGTCAGGGGACAGTGAGGTCCAGTCAGTTTCATGTCCAGAGCTCACCACTGAATTAGTGGCAACACAGTTAAATGAACTGCTGTGTGACACAGAGGTTACCATAGCAAGTGTGATGGCTTTTCTACACAGTGTGTGAGCTTGGTTTGTGGACATTTTTTAAGAGTAGTGACAATTCTGGAAGACTGTCATTTATTAAGTGCTCACACTGTCCCAAGCACTGTGCTAGGTACGTTACACATATTTATTCATTGAATCCTTAAACCTCACAAGGTAAGTGCTCTTGGGATTCCCATTTTACACAGGAGGCTCAGAGTCCTCTTCTTGCCCAGAGTCACAATAAGTAGAAGAACAGGGAATCCAGCCCAGGCTCCAGAGCTGTGCTCTTAACTGCCTGCCCTCTGCCTCCACCAGGCCTGGGATGGGTTTTGCAGAGAGCAGGCGCAGCAGCCCCAAAGAGCAGCAGCATGGACTTGTCAGGGGTGCACAGGGTGGGATAGGCAAATATTCAGGGGCTGGGAGCCGTGAGGACTGAGGTCATTATGCCTGGTCACGTGACAAGATACCTCATTGCCCCCCCTAATACTCTCAGAGCTCCTTTTCTCATTAATCTTCTGTGTAGTTTTTGTTGATCTCCCTCATGAAATGCTCAGAGAGGGCAGAATGCCTGCTGTCCCCTGCCCAACCCAGGACCTTGCACAAAGTGATGGCTCAGTATATATTTATTGAATGAACACTTGACTAAGTGTCAGGTCCAGAGTTTTGCCTTAGTGGATAGGCTGTTGTCTAAGAGGACGACTGTACTTGGTGTTTTCCTGGAAGTTTACGTAACCCAGGAGTAGAGCAGATTTCCAGGCTGTTGCCAGAGATAATGAGTCTCCATTAAGCAAGCCAGCTTTGGGAGAAGGAGTCTATGTGTGGTTGGGGAGAGCCCAAGAGATTGGGGCCAGGGTGTCTGGCAGAGTAAAGCTTTAGGCATCAGTCAAGCAAATGAGCTTTGGAATAGATTTGGTTTCCCCCTCCCCCAGTTGAACTGTTTTGGGGAACAGCAGTTGGATTGGGAGCTAACTTGTGACACTGACTTCATTTTCTTCGTATTAAAATACTTTGGGTAGTTAAAAAAAATACTTCTTTATTTGGTGCTTTAGTGATTATATTAAATATAGGCACAATATTTAAATGCAATAAAAAGTTTATATTGGCCGGGTGCAGTGGCTCACGCCTGTAATCCTAGCTCTCTGGGAGGCCGAGGCGGGCGGATTGTTTGA